TGTAATGATGTTTCTAATAAAATGCTTCTATATTTTTCACGTTTTATGTTAACCAAACTCTGAACAATGAGATTGAAAACGCAAATGTGGGTATATATTATCACATTCAAGAAAATGTGCTTGCTCAGCTGCATAAAAGTATACATGCTGCCTCTAGTAAATAATTTCAGAGTCTTTTCAAATAAAGCAGTGAGCTGGTAATGATGGCTTTCAATTGATGAAATAGCCTATTTCGTCTACAGATAAGATTTTCTCGTGATTTTGATTAAATAAAATATCTTTAAAGGAGAATGTTTACTGATTTGAGGGTTTTTTTATTATTAAGTCTTCCTTAACTACTTGCATTCTTGAATCCAAATCTGAGGTATTTTCTTTGGGAATATGCTATATATCGCTTTCTACCATTTCTTCCTTATACAACAATAAACACAGTGTTTATCATCACATTGCCTCTGTACTCTTCCCATAATCCACACTAACAGAAAAGGAAACACTACTTTTTATTCTTATTTTCATTGGTTTACATGCAATGAGATGTCTGTCATAGGAAAAGTCTTCTGGTCTTTATGATCTTTCAGATTTACTTTTTGACTACCATTTTGTTCTTATTGCCTACTGATCACAAATGACTTTCTCAATTTCATCCTGCCTAGTTTTTGAGAAAAAAATCAAGGTATGAAGAGACTAACAATGAAAAGGAAATCAGTAGCTGGCGGCACTGCATCAGAAAAAATATTATTATGTTATGACTACAAACAGTAGCATCAAATGTGGAAATATACTTGCAAATTAATTAGCATTTAAAGGAAATGGTCTTAGAGTAATTGTCTTTTTGCTTTTAAGCAGCTATGTTTACAAGCACATCTCTGTTTTCTATTAATACCTTGCTAGGGAAAAATAACAAATACACTTTTTGAGTTTTGAGTCTAGTCTATATTTGTACTTTTTTTAAAAACAAAGGCTCAGGAGAATACAACAACAACAAAAAAAAAACAAAACACAAAAAAACCCAAACAAAACAAAACAAAGTATTGCCCTGTTTCTCACAGCTCCTATGAAGAGTTTCCCACTCTTCCCAAAAGCAAAGAGCCTTCTATGACTTCTGTAGATATGAGGAAATAAGCATGCTCTATCTCCCATACTGTGACTCTCCCAGCATCCCTTAGGTGAAGGATCTTTGAGTAGACTGGGCTAACAGCCTGTATATGTCCAGTAGGACACCTCTTTGCAACCCTGGTGGCACTGTTTCCAGCCTATGACAGCTACAAATGGATGTGAAGAGACCAGATCTGATCCACTTGTCATTGCTATTCAACTTTAAGCTCTATTTACATATAATTTCTCTTTTTCACTCTAAACCTATCTAGTGCTTTTCAAAGTGACTGGTATAAGTGATCAGGGTCACAGAAACTGTGCATCAACTTGAGAGATCAAATATTTCAAATAATCTGAACACCAGAATTACTAAATCTTTTATTATTTTCCCATGAGCATTCAACTCCGCAAAAGATAAATAAGCAAATCTTTACTGTCTTCTGCCTGAAAGGATGGTAATAACTTGAAGGAGAAAAAAAACAAAACCAAACAACAAACAAACCTGGAGATAACTAGACTGCTGTTATGTAAAATAAGTACTCTACACATTTGCATCTACTTTGTTCAATTTATTTATTTTTTTCACATGTAGATACTTCATTGATTGGAAGAATGATGTGGACAGCTACTTTACAATAGATGCTACTGAGGGAACCATTGCTACTAATGAATTATTGGACAGAGAAAGCACAGCACAGTACAATTTCTCTATACTTGCAAGTAAAGTTAGTAAGTATGACACAAACTGAATTAATATGGTAATGTGGTGTGTTTTTTTTTTACAGAATGTAGTGCTCAAGCATAAATATACTCTGAAACATGCATGTATTGCCAAGAGATTATTTAAGAAGACCCAATAGTTATCATTTTGCCAGACTCACTGTGAGGCTAAGTGTGATGTTCAGACATCTCTGTATAATAAGGTTTTCCTAGTAGCCCTTACGTAGGCACAGTTCCCTTAGAAGAAAAAACAGGAGGAGCTGTATGGAAACTTCCTGTTTCCTCTTTCTGATTTTGTAATTCCCTCTATATTAAATTAGTTAATCAAATAACAGATCCATCTGCTTTTTGAAGGCAGAAGAATGTAAAGACTCATTCAGTTCTCAGACAAAAAGCACATTTTAATTCAGTCAATATTAAGGGCAGTTTTTTGTTTTGTTTTGTTGGGGTTTTTGTTGGTTTGGTTTGCTTTTGGGGGTTTTGTTGTGGTTTTTTTTTTTGTGTGTGTGGGTTTTTTTGTTTGCATTTGGTTTTATTTTGGTTTTGTTTTTAATAAGAGCTCACTTCTTCTGCTGTATTATGTAGCTGTAGCTTTCTTCATTGCCATCCTGGGTAGCATTCCTCTTTCATGATCCTGTCAAACTGAAACTCTCACAGGCTTATACCACACTTTTTAATACATGGCTTTTTGTCACTTAGCTGTAGTGTAAATATCACAGAAGTCATTCTGTTGACATCAACAGGCTGTAGAAGAGGACCCCTGCTGTATTTCCTATTCATTCTGCATTGTTTATATGTCCAGAGTTGCAAATTTCTAAAGCAGAAAGTCCAGCACAACTGTAATTTGTTTCCAGAGAAACTGAAAGGCAGATGAAGAAGGGAGATCTTGCAATGGTCAGTGTTTCAGTATAGCTTAACTATTTGGATTTAGTGGTGGCCAAAGAACATCTGAGATTTCTATATTTTTTTCTACAGTGAGGGAGCAGTTTTAGTAAACTTGGTGTGAATCTGTTAATTATTCCCAAGTGTAATGAAAACTAGCTAAAATCTCCATATCTACTTTTCTGTAGACACATATATAGTAATAATATGTTTATGTAATGCTATAGCAGGTAGACTATATTATGAAATCCCGAATTCTAGCAATTTTTCAGATAAAAATCTACACCTAAGACATATTAGTGATTAATTTCAGCGTACCTCAGAATATTTATACATTTACCATTATCCATAACATTTAAAAAACAATAAAATAAAATTGCAATACCGGTCCTACACCAGTAATTGGCAGTATTTTGTAGGATCTGAGGCATACGAATTGTCAAAATTTTATATGCTGTTGTCTGACCAAGAGCTGGCACAGAAATAAAGGCTGGCATTTTAGGGATGACACACTGCATACCCAAAAAAGTTTAGAGAGAAGAAAAGAAATTATCTGAAGAAAAAGAGGAAGAGAGAATACTATATTTGAAGAATTTCTGTTATTAAAAAAATTGCCTCTTGTTCAATGCTGATGTAGAAACTCTAAAATTGCTATTTCTTTTTAAAGAAAAATGGCACTGAACAGTGCTTTGACACTGCTCGATGAGAGAAAGGCTGTGGATACTGTCTACCTGGATTTAGTAAGGCCTTTGGCACTGTCTCCCACAGCATTCTGATGAAAAAACTGGCTACTCATGGTTTGGCTGGCACATGCTCTGCTGGGTAAAACACTGGCTGGATGCCCGGGCCCAGAGAGTGTCACTGAACGGAGTTAAATCCAGCTGAAGGCCAGTCACAAGTGGTGTTCCCTAGAACTCAGTGTTGGGACCACTTCTTTTTAACATCTTTATCAATGATCTTGATGAGGAGGTAGAATGCACCCTCAGTAAGTTTGCAGATGACACAAAGTTGAGAGGGAGTGTTGATCTGCCTGAGGGTAGGGAAGCTCTATACTGAGACTTGGACAGCCTAGATGGGTGAAGGTCAGTTGTATGAAGTTCAACAAGGCTGAGTGCCAGGTCCTGCACTTGGGCCACAACAACTCCATGCAACATTACAGTCTTGGGGAAGAGTGGCCGGAAAGCTGCCCAGCAGAAAGGGAATCAGGAGTTCTTATTGATAGGCTGAATAAGAGCCAGCAGTGTGCCCAGGTGGCCAAGAAGGCCAATGGCATTAGAAATAATGTGGCCTGTATTAGAAATAATGTGGCAAGCAGAACCAGGGAGGTGATTGTCCCTCTGTACTTGGCATTGGTGACGCCACACCTCAAATAGTGTGTCCAGTTTGGGGCACCTCAGTACAAGAAAGACATCGGGGTGCTGGAGTGTGTCCAAAGAAGGGCAGTGAAGATGGTAAAGGGCCTTCAGAACAAGTCTTATGAGGAGCGGCTGAGGGAACTGGGACTGTTTAGTTCAAAGAAAAGGAAGCTGAGGGGACACCTCATTGGTCTCTACAACTACATGAAAGGACGTTGTAAAGAGGTCAGTAGTTGTCTCTTCTCACAAGTAACTGGTGACAGAACAAGAGGAAAGGGCCTCAAGCTGCACCAGGGAATGTTTAGATTAGACAAACATTAGGAAGAACCTTTTCTTTGAAAGGGTTGTCAGACATTGGAACATGCTGGCCAGAGAGGTGGTTAAGTCACCATCCCTGGATGTGTTTAAAAGTCGTTCAGATGTGGTGCTTGGGGATATGGCTTAGTGCTGGACTAGGTAGAGAAGGGTTAACAGTTGGACTCAGTGATCTTGAAGGTCTTTTCCAATCTGAGTGATTCTGTGATATATATGATTATGTAATGAAAGTGGCCTGGTATTCCAATCGGTTGCACAAACTTTCCTCAGAAATAGGCACTATTGTTACCTAAATATTTTCAGTTCTCCATGACCTTGTCTCCTTCAAATTAAAAAAACTGCAAACTAGTAATAAACATATTAACTTATGTTAATTACATGATTTTTTTTTTTTTTTTTTTTTTCTAAAATAAGTATTTTATCTTTTCTCTGTTAGAGAGAAACAACAAAAAAACCCAGAACAGCACAATTTTTAGACAGATCCTTATGGTCATCCTGAAAATCATATTTTCTTGAATAAGACAAAGACAACCAATTTTATCCCCATCAAGTCAGAGAGAAAAAGAAATAAAACCTGCTTTGCCATCATCCCTCTATATATGGAAAACGATGCCATGGTCATGAGCAGGCTTGCTAAACCTTCCTGGCACAGCTTCAGGCTATGTCCTCACCTGACTACAACCTCCCTTCAGGTAGCTGAAGAGAGTGATAAGGTCCTTCCTGAGTCTTCTCTTCTCCAGGCTTGAATGCAGAAGCTCCCTTACTCATCTGTAGAAATTAAAACAAACAAACAAACAAACAACAACAGCCTTTGTATAGAACAAAATGCATGAACAAGGAGGGAATGTTTCAGACTAACATTTTTTCCCCCATTTCACTTGCCAGTTTCTCCATACTTCTTTTCATTCCTTGAGTTCTTCTGAGAATAAATCAGCACCCTAGTAACCTTCACAGTTGCTGTTTCTGAACATTTTTGAACCCACAGACTCTGTCCAAACTAATAAATTAGACATGGCTTGCATTTGTTTCAAGGGCAAAGGCCTACTGGCACTAAGTACCCTATTTTTATGCCATTAAACACTCCTACATTCCAAAGAGGGAGCCCAAATGTAAATCGATTCGTTTAGAGTGAGTCCTTGCCCATATTAACTCACAGCACATATGTGTGAATTGTTCACAAGACCACTAGTTGCCCCAGGCCAATGGCTGCTGTAACAACCTAAGTGTATTAAAAAATCCCAGTTCAGTGATGACAAAGTTCCACAATGTGCTGTTTAATTACTTAATATGGAAATGTTTTTTCCATCTTACAAAAGAGGAAATAGATACAGTGCATAAGATCTTATTTCTGCTTTCCTGTCTTCAAGATGCTAGTTAAGGTTGAAAATAAAGAGTAAACATAATGCCTCCTGTCTAAACTATCTTTCCAGCTGCACTAACTGTAGGCTCAATATTTATGAATGCTAAAAAAAAAATGCCAGTATGTGGTTCATCTTCTCCTGCATACCATAATCAGGATTAAGGAATCACCAGTTTTCCTTAATGGTCAGTATTTATCTTTTCAGATAGTTTGAATTTTCACAAGTCCATTAGTCAAAGTATTTTATGTATTTTCTACTGCTATAATATCCTTGAACCAAAAAGACTATAACAGATGGTGGTACTGGACCAAAAGAAGGAAGCAGGGTTGTCACTGTCTTACAGAAAGGAAAACTGGAGAAGGAAGAAGCTAATTAATTTGCCTGTATCTTAGAGGCAGAACTGAAACCTGAAATAAATTTCTGAATTCCTAGGCTAGCAGTTTAACCAACTTGTCTCATTGTCTGTTAATCTGGGCTTAAAAGGCATGAGTAGATTTTTTCAGTGATTTACTCACTGATACCAGGATGCATATCACTGCTGTGCTTACAGGGCTCAACAAGATTTGATTTTGAGACAAATAGCAAACAAAACAAAACCAGAGAAAATGGAGATCAAGTCTGCAAAGTGGAATTTGAAATACAATTCATTCTCATTCACATCAAGTATTACAGGTCTTTGTAATTTTATATGAATTCAAAACTGTACACAACTACACAGTAGTTACATTGATATTAGTGCAAACCAGAAAGAAAATTAGTCACATAAATGAAGTGAAACTCAAAAGTAAGTCCATCTTACAGTGTAGTAATTCTGTTTAATTTCATGTTTGATTTTTTGCTGGCCATTTATGCAAGATAAAGTTCTACCCTGCTAAAATACTTATTAAGAAAATATTTTGGCCTCTAATATATCTTTCAAAGAATCATAGACAATAAATCATAGATTATCCGTGAGAAATACATGTAAAAGTATGTTCTTGTTTGGGTATATTTCCAAAACATGCTATCCAATAATGATTTTGAGGGAAAGAAAAATGTTTATTTTAAGAAAATATACAGTCCCATAATATATACATTGTTCCAAAAAGCTAAAAAAATAGTTTATGTAAGATATTTTAATATATATATATAGCCTAAATGGACTTCTTACAGAAACTTACATGTTTGCTAGAAATGATCAAAATCAGCTAATATTTCCCATGTAAATTATGCATACATTTGGAATGCATTCATTCTTTTACTGAAAAGGCATCATTAACAAATTTCTAAATGGAAACAAGCTAACATCTATGCCTGTATTTTCAGGGCAAAACATTAATCTCAAATGTGTTTGAAGAATGTATCCTGAACTCCTGTTGTTCATTGTTGTACCTTAAAGTAAATGTATAAAAACTAAAGGAAAACCTGAGTTACTGCATATTACTTGCTGTGTTCTTCACAGTGGGTACTGCTAAAGTGAAAATTTAGGTTAGGTTGTTTCTGCCAGCAACCGTATGGACCTGACCCACTCCGAGCTTTTCTTGTCTTCATATATTCAGAGTCGGGGTCCTGCTCAACTTACTAAAATAACATATTAGTATTTTTTAATTTCCTATTATACAAAGGAACCAATTCAACTGTGAACATGCGATCTAGATTACTTGTGGCTCTATGAACATCTAAAGAACCACTGCCTAATTCCCGGCTGCTAGACCAAACTGTTTTCATTTGTACTGCTCCATACTCTTCTCCAAAGAGACATTCTGCAAGTAGGGATGATGCTGAACTGGAAATTACTGAGGATTTAAAATTACTTTTTTAGATATGGTCATTATTAATTAGATATGTTCATAGGAAGGAACTACAAATATTGTGTGATTTGGGTAGTGTTTTTTGTGTTTTATATTTTAGATTCCAAACCGAGGTTTAGGATGGTCAGTTTGTCCTTTACTTGTAAACAGGTAAAGGAAAAAAATGGGGAATATGGGGAATAAATTTTGGTTTTGACAGAGGCCTCTTGAAAACACTTCATTTAGTAGTTCCTAAGAACAAGAAAACCATATAAACGTTCTACAGCGCCACCATGAAGAGACTTTTCCCCTTGCTCTATTAGTTATAAACAAGAGAAAAGTAAAGGTGTGTACAAACTATGAAGTAAGCAGATAATGCAAATAATTTGAAGTTTCCATTATGTCAGAACAGTCAAGAAAAATATTCTTATACTTAACCATGGCCCCATGCTGTCACCTCTATACCACCCTGATTCATAGCATAGATGTCTTGAGTAGTTAATTATGTTTGTATAGTGTCTGCCACTCTTAAATGAAAAAGGATAAAATAATTAACCTTTTGACTCACCAGTTAATCTGTTTTTTTTTTTTAATGTATCTGCTATCTCAGCATACAGTAGAAGGGGAATATTTTCTGTTTTGTATTGCATTTGTGTCTCCTTTCTGTCAGATATAACATTTACAAGTAAACTTGTTTATAAAATGCATCTAGCAACTGATGAAGATTATTTGCTTTGGTATGGCATATAATATTAACTGTTTTTTAGAATTTCTTTTGCACAAAAGTATTTGTTGCTTTCAAATACTTATAAAGATATAGCCTAGTGGTTTAACCACAAATTGAATGTTAGCTTTACATGTTTCACTGCTAAATTTGACACAGACTGTCAGGGTTTCAGCAAGTTTTTTCTTTATATCTTTCTTACTTTTCTCCATCTTTTACATGGATATGCTCCACTTATCTCCTTCATATCTCGAATATGTTAACAATAGCTAAGTAATAAATACTGAGTTTCTGCATCCCATTCTGGAAAAGAGAATTCAGTGTTAATAATTGGTAGTGTTTTTCACAGACTCCATGAAAGTGATCTGAGAAAAGTTTGCATCTTTAATTACAGGTACAATTTCAAATTCTTTAACTTATGCTCTGAGAAACATAATCATGTTGACTGACTCCTTACTCTATAAAAGAGTAAAGGCTCCAAGTTTGGTAGAAAACAATAAGAAGTCAAGAGCTTTTAAAAGTCACAATACTGGGATCATAACAGCTCATGGGTACTGGTGATGACAACTAACATAAATAGTATTCCTTAATCTTTTCTCCTAAAAATCATTTATAGGTAACCCACTATTAACCAGCAAAGTCAACGTTATAATAAATGTCCTGGATGTCAACGAGTTTCCTCCTGAAATTTCAGTTCCCTATGAGACATCTGTATGTGAAAATGCCAAGCCAGGACAGGTATTTCAAATTTCTAATGCTTACTATTTTAGTTTTTCTTTCCTTATTTTTTTATAGCATAGAAATTTCTGGGTTTGAAAATGACATCATTGTTAGAATTCTTCTATAAATAAAATATCTGTGTTGGAAATACCTTTTTAAATTCTGTTTGATGACCTTTATAGTTGATTTATTGTCTTTTTATTTTTATTATCCCTGATTATATGTGCTGAGCCATCCTTTACTGTGCATTTCATAGCTATGACAGGGGAAATAATCCCTTCCTTAAAGAAACTTAAATATAAGGATAAACTGCAGTGAAAATATGCATTACACAAATGTTTGTGTCCTATTCAGAGAAAAAGAATTCACAGCTCCAAGGACAATCCTCTGGAAAACTTGTCTTTATAAAAAGTTTTAAATATATACATAGCATGCAAAATCTATTTCAGGTTCAGAATACCACTTTATACCATAAGTGATGCCAGTATTAATAAAGTTGGCCCCGGAAGCTGTTGACATGTTCTCCTTCTGCCCCAAATTTGTGCAATTAAACAGAGTGCTGCAAAGAAACAAGGCTGACCATACATATTAACAGCTAATACTTTTTCCAAGATAAGACTTGTAAATTCAGCTATTCAACTTTGAGGGTTACTGCCAGCCATGGAAAGTTTATGTTCAGCCTGCTGTGCAATCAGTGACGTCTCCTTATATGTATGTAATATATAATCAGTCCATGTGATTTTTCTTGCTTTCATTACAGATTTGTCCATGACTTCATGTGATACTATCTAATCTTTTATATATGTATATATGTGTGTGTATATATATATATATGGTTTAGCTAATTACCATGCATCCTAATTTAATTTCTCATTTATCAGGTACCATTAGTTAGTACCTTATCCATGCACTAATAGCAGAAAGGGAAACCTTTTACAGGGAAGGCTGAGCAAGCTGTCAAAAATTAAAAATATTTAGGTCTTGGTTACATAAAATGCCTTACTTGAAAAGAGATCAATAGCAATCCTACTATGGAACATTTTAGCTTCACTGTGCTTGCCTGAAGTCTAGCAGATAGGACTATAGGACCCCAAAGTTCCTTCACACCTAGATGGTGCAGACCTTTGAACCATGTCTACTTTGTTTTGAACTGTAAAATTAGGATGTAGCTCTGTGAAGTACTACAACATGTACTGGTCTTCACAGATAGTACTAGCAGCAGATAAAGTAAACTGCCTTTTAAGTAATTACTCACCTGAAAACAATCACTAGTATTTTGATACAAAGTACAAATATTAGCTGTTATGAATACAGAATAAATCTTTCTGATTTCCTTCAGAAATGTCAAAGAGGGATCTTCTGAGACATCACGAGTTCTCTGGAGGCAAGATATTCAGACTTCTTGGCTCCACTCTCCAGTATATTAGGGGAATGACAGTAATCCAGCAGGATTTTACTTTCCTTGTTTCATTTAATGTTCACTTTGCATTTCTACAAAACTTCTTATTTCAGAAAAGTGAATTGACTTCGAAATTAATCTTGATCTGGTTCCAGGTGATACAGACTGTCACAGCAGCAGACAAAGATTTGTCACCAGCTGGTCAAAGGTTTTCCTTCAGACTGTCAGCTGAAGCTTCCAACAAACCAAATTTCACAGTCCATGATTACAGAAGTAAGTTGCTTACCCACCTCTCTCTTTCAGAGCAGTAAGCTGTGATAATAATGACAAATATAATTACTTTGTATTACAGTCTTGTCTACA